GTTCAGCAGCTGTGATAGGGTCTCCCAAGGCAAGAGGAAGAGCATGGATGTCTCATTTCCACATTTAGTTTGCTCTTCTCTCCCTTGGTGGGGGGGGCAGGTGAAAGGCCACGATCCTAAAATTAAGGATCTTTTCCAGCCCAGCCCACACTGACATTGGTGCTGTGGAGCACACCCCTTTGCATTTATGATCTTCGAAGCATGCTGCAGATGGCTTCTGCCCATCATTTCTACGCAGTTGTGGACACCCTGTATGCAAAGCCATTGATGTTGGCCTGAGGATTGGCAAGCACACTTCTATCACGGCAGCCCTATGGGGTGACATGCCCACAGCAACCTGGGTAGCAAATGGGGCTCTGAGTTTCTGACGTCCAGATAGATGTATCCTATCACCATGGGGTGCTTGGCTGTCTGGGCCCTGTTCTGGGCTGATCTTTAGAAAAGTACATTTGTCATTGCCAGGTTGGCATCGCAGTTGTCTCCACCACTCGTGAACCCAGGAATAGTGCTGTTTGCAGCAAGGCTGTTTCATTAGAAGTCCCTCCTAAAGCAGTCTCGTGCTCGCCCTTGTTCCTCTTCTCCTTTGGGTACAGCTGCTGGCAGGAAAAAGGAAGTTATAGCTGCTGCTTAATCTGCAGCCCAAAATGCTGGTTAGCAGAGCAGTGAGCTTGCAAAGCTGCAGCCATTTGGCAGTGACCTGTCAAATGCATACAGCCACTGCCTATGCCCAGCTTCTGGCTTTGCAGCAAGGAGAACTATTTTTGTCCTTAAGGATATTTTAGGGGACTTAAGCAGCAGCAGCGACCTAAAAAGAGGACAGTCGTTGATGTGGGGGGAATTGGTGGGACATTGAAACATCATTAACCAGCTCCTTCCCTGTCACTGTAGTGGCAGGGAATTAGCAGTGCTGTTCCACCCCCCCCACCCCCCAATTTTACCTGTGGCAGTCTGTAGGGTGTGCCTGAGTTTGTGCTTTTTGAGAGCTTGAAATGGCTGTTTGGGGAAAATTGGGGGTAAATGGTTGCCTGAGAACACAGGGGCCTGGACTCAGTCACTCAAGAGGCCCCTGTTTTCAAGTTGATTTTGATCACTTCCAGCTGGCTTCTATATATCCCATATACCACGGGGTCACTCCTACGATGCACAGAGCCAGGGTGCAACGCAGAAGCGCTGGGGGAAATTCATCCAGGCTGCTGAGCGCACAGTTGGGAAGCAGCTCTTCTGTGTGGGGAAGAAGTGACTTGCAGTGAAGTAAGAGCCAGCTGTTCACTCTCATGGACCACTGTACATTAGTTTATTTGAAGCAGTTACATCGAAGAATCTTGCCTCAGTAAATCCCATCATTTGGCATGTCTTTAGAGATGAGCTATGAGATGTGATGCATCTTAATGTAGGCAGTGATGTACTAGAGAAGAAATCCTGTCCAAATTGTATTGCAGTTTAAAGGGTGCTGAATGCCTCTGTAGGGGAGAGGAAAAGGATTGTGATCAAGTGTGCAACACAACAACAACAACAACAAAAGAGTAAGTAGGATGTTGGCTTATATTCTGAAGGCTCAGGGTTTGTGCCAATGAGTTAAGTGGTGGTTAGTTAGACTGTTTCAGAGTGCTCTGTTCAGATTTTGTTCACTTGCTTTGGAGAAAAGTTATCACAAAGGAAGAGTCAGAGTTGAGTGCAGCAATGTTAAGGACATGAAGGACACATCTACACAAGCTGTTTACTGCGGAGTTGCCTAATTAGTTCCACAGTAAACATCTGTCTGCATGTGCTGTTAGGATGGAGTAAGCTCATTAACTCTGCTGTAGGTTAGTACTTATAAACACAAGTACTATCCTCCGGTAGAGTTTTTTACTCCATAGCAGTGCATGTGTAAACACTGATGGGGCTGGCTGGGGCACAAGGGTGCTTTAGTGCGGTGCTGCCTGCTGACTAGCCCTGCACTGAAGTACCCTCTTGCCCCAGGCAGCCCCCTGCAATATGCTGAGCCAGGTTGGAGCAGCCCTGGGCTGGCAGACTGACCGTCCAGACTCCCTGCCAGCTGGGGCTGGTGCGACCCAGACTCAATGTGCTGCGGTCCGGTCCCAGGCGCATGTCCAAACACGGTGCCCAGGAGCAATTAATGACGCAATATGCACCGGAGTTTACTGCTGCATATTAATTGCACATGTAGATGCACCCGCTGGGAACAAATATAAGCAATATTGGGATGGTTGCTCATGAAATGACTGATCTGGCAGAAATGTTGAAATCAGGTAAAGGCTGTTAAAAAAGCTAAATGTGTAGATAGTGACACTTTACTGTGCAGTAAATTAGTTTACTGCGCAGTAAAGTATCTCATGTGGATATGGCCACTGGATCTGAAAATGAAGCCGACTTTCTTTTGCTGAACTTGAGAGAGAGAGATATAAAAAGTCAAGTCGGCTTAATTAGTAGCAAAAGCATTGACTTGTTAACACCTCTTCTTTTAATACTGGAGGATAAAATATTGATTTGGCTATAATTCAGGATTTTTACTGTGACAGTGTCCCTTGGAGGCTACAATGGCTGATTTGGGAATATGATGGTTTAAAGGAGAATTGATTTGTTGTTCCTTTGTATCTGATGGCTTTTTTGGGGGGGCAAGGCTGAAGTTCATTGGAGAGGTAAGTGTGTGCATGCACACACATACATAGCTATGCATATATATGTGTACAAATATCAAACACTAATGTTTGGCCCACTGCTGGATGCAGAGCCTCTATTTTCAGAGTCCTCCTTCTTTCATGTTGGCTTTTGAGATCTGTTTCAGCCATTAGGACCTCTCATAACAGCTACATTATATGGAACAATAAAACTCACCTCTGCTGGCTTAAGAGAGATGGAAATGACCACTTCTGAGACTAATTCCCTAATGCTTCCTTTGTTCTTGCTTATACAGACAAGCAAATGACCTTCCCTCCCGCTCTT